GCGTTAAACATAGCCTGTACTAGCTGAATAGATAGAATAATTACAACTTGCCCAATAGCAAGGCATTCATGAAAAAATTGCTCCATTGTCCCGAGATGATTTGCCTCTGCTAGTTAGCAAGTTTCACTTCCTGTTTACTACCGCAAAGCTTGTCGCCGACGTCTGACATAATCACGTGTTGCGTAGCCTCGTCTGATGTAATCATGTGTTGCGTAGCCTTGTCTGTAATCACGCATTGTGTAGCCTCGTCTGATGTAATCACGTGTTGCGTAGCCTCGTCTGACGTAATCACGCATTGCGTAGCCTCAATTATTCGCATCAAACAGTCGAGAGGGAAACTAGATAGAAACAGTCTGGATTCAAATTTTTATTTATTTAATTTTTTAGGAATTTTGAAAAGGTAGCAAAAAATTCACTCTACAACTGGATGGAAACACGATTATTGACTACAACTGATCACAAAGTGTACAATATAAGACTGGATCCTAAATTCAGATAATCAATCAGACACTTGATTTATCAAATTTCTGACATTCTGACCTATCTAGCTCCTACATACTGGTGTAAAGCCATCTGTGAACTTTCTGCTCTCTCAGTATGAGCTGATCGTTCTGAAATTCATGTGGAAATAAAATTTATTCATATTAATATCATTAAGCTGCAACACACAGTAAGCATTGCATCACAAACCTTGTTGACATCCTGAAGGTAGAGCCAAGCGTTGAACGGTCTGATGGTCAGGTCCAGGTCTGACATCTTCAGCTCTGCCAATCCTGCACTGATGTTCCTCTCATCTGCATCGATCCCAAAGGCTGCGAAGCGCAGGCTGTACTCGTCCAGAGCAGCCGGGTCCATGGGGATGGAGAAACGCTCATTGAAGATGACGGTGAAGGCATTGGTCTGAACCTGTGGGAAGCAGACAACAACAGTGTGGGTTTACACACTGAAATGTCCAACATCAAGTTCAACCACTGCCGAGCACAACCACCTGCTGGGCTAAAAGATCAGACAGGAAAACATTGGTTGTAACGCCTTAATGCTGTAGATAGCATAAAGTTCATATGGCCTTCACCTTCAGGTCAGAGTTTTTACCTGACATCCTTTGATTATGAGGAATGACAGAGTTCAAGCTGTTTCAGGTAAATCTTGAAAATACCAACATGAGACAGTGAAACTCTCACAGTGTCAGCATCTGTACAGTGTTTTACTAATGACTCAGAATCAGTTTGTTTTTATTAAAGTCAAGTGGCTGCAGCAGCCATCATGTTAATCAGTTGTACATGTGCATCTTAGTTCAGATTGTCCAGTGGTTCATGAGATATTTTGCTAACAAACAGAGGTTATGCAAAGTGTTAAAGACAGATCAGTTAGTGCTCTAAGTTTAGGTTTTTGTGTTCAGTGAGGTTCATTAACTGTGGAGTCCTTGAACTGAGGTGTCAGTGGCTCCCAGGCTGCACTGTACTTTACCATCAGTGTGTCAAAGAATAATGTTAAGTGCATTATTATTATTATTATCATCATCAGATTCCTTTTGCACACACACACACACACACACACACACACACACACAC